AACTGGAAAAAGTAAGATGTAATTATGGTATTCCTTCAACGTTGTTTAAACTTCTTAATTACATATATGGAAAATGAAAGGAAAGATTATTAAAATGTAAAAATTTTACCTTGCCAATTTTAAGACACACTGGTGTGAATATTTATGTTCCCTTACTTGCAAATATTTTTCTACAGGAGTGCAAGCCAAAAATGTGGAGAAGCATTATAATACAGAAGGGGAATACTCTTCTCATTCAGGAAGTTCAAGAAGAAGATGGAGGAAATTACACGTGTGAACTTAAATATGAAGGAAAGCTTGTAAGACGAACAACAGAACTGAAAGTTACAGGTAGGAGCTGGTTGACCAAATAATAATGATTGTCATTTTAAGTGTAATCTGTTCTGAGAAAGAATTTTGTTTCACAAGCCAAATTCCTGTGAATTTAGAATTAGCAGCAAATCAAATTATTGGAAACATCACTATTATTGTGTTTTGCTGAACTAAGATTGTATTTAGAATATACATGTTTAGGGATCAAGGGACTAAATGCTGCCTATGTGCTCTCTGCTGTTATAAAAGCTTCTAAATTCTTCTATCCGCCAATGAGTGTTAGTACAGGAATCTGAAAAGACATACTAGTACCATTCTAAAATTTTGACTTAATCCATGTGTGGGATCTCCATGAAGGTGAAAGCTGCCTTTGGAAGTTCTGTTGGAATTTTGGAATGAAATCTGTTGAACTGTATTCCAAAGGAAATCTATACAAAGTTCGTCATAATTGAGAGCTGTTAATAAGAGTTTCTATTGACACACAGATTAAGCAACTCCAAAAGAAGAGTGCGCACAAATAAGTAAAAATACCTAGGAATAAAACAGAAAATCTGAGGGCATTATTTCCTCATAATTTTGGGAAACAAACATAGAATGGGCTCTAAAACTGTTAACACAAAAGTGAGTTTATGACAGAAAGTCGCTAGTGAGCAAATCTTGGTTAATTTACACGCCAACCAGTTCAATGTTCCTTACCCAAAATGCTTGGGAACAGAAGCAATTCATAGTTCAGGTTTTTATTTTGGAATATTTATGGGCACATGATGAGGTATCTTAGAGATGGGACTCAAGAATAAATGCAAAATTCGTTTTCGTCTTATAAATACCTTATACAGATTATCTGACAGTCATTTTAGACACCATTTTGCTATGATTCATCACATAATGCCATATGTGGACTTTTCTGTGGTGTCATTTTGGCACTCAATAAGTTTTGGATTTTGCAGCACTGAGGACTTAGCATTCAGAGACTGCATTAATTGACTTATGAGTACTGTATGTAAGCATTACCTGTTTAGTCATCTAATGTTGACATCACACAGTTGGCTAATTATAGCACATTCTTGCTAATTTTAGGGGAACTTTTTTTCTCTATTACTTTTGTTAATTCCTGCCTGATATTTTAGGAACAGTATTAAAATTAGATGAACCAGTATTCTCTGTATTCAGTGGTATAACTCATATGTTCAGTTCAATTTTGATCCCCAAGTTTCAATACACTAATATACACTCTGTCTTAACAAATGACAGTTTTATTTCATAGTTTCAATTTGGATAGCACTTTCTGTGAAACTTTTAATAGTTCTTTGGATTAGAATTGCATGTTCTTTTCTTTCAAATATTTTCAAAATAACTACCATTTTGTACTTATTCCAAGTAGCAAAAATCTACTTTGATTAGTTTCTGATTTCTTCAACATGTGCCAGACGTCCATGACATGTTCATGGCAGAAGAGTCAATCACATGCATATCATTAGTAAGTGACCTGAACATGCACGAAGCATGGTCACTTTGATCAAAACCACAGATCCTTATCAGACAAAGTCCTTGTGTTTGGCAATCATTTACTACACTCTGTATAGTATTTGACTTGTTTCTAAACTGAACTATAATAAAGCAAGCCTCAAGCCTTCTTTACACTATCATCTAATGGATTACATTATCAACAGTTTGTGCTTTTAGTTTCATTCCTGATTCTGGAAAAAAAATTTACTAGGGGTGCTTATTTTGTGCATTTATATGATTTTAATTTACTTGTTCTAAACTTTTAAAATAAGCTATGGGCTTAACACTTCATTGACTACCATGGAGAGGTTCTCAATGTTTTTTGTGTGTATCAGGATCATATGATAGAATTCAGGTGGGATGTACATGAGAATTTTAAAAAGCAACCTCCAAGTCCTCTCCAGATTCTAATTTTGTACATCAGTAACACAAAGAATTTAAATTTTGTTGTAGTAACTCTGTTATATACCTTTCAAGGAACAAGAATGCTTTGAAAATCACTGGAAGAAAGAATATTGTTACAAACAGTCAAAGTCATAGATATGATTAATTTGTGAACACGTTGTAGTTCACACACATACTACAAACACATTTTCACAGGTCCCAAATTGTTTCCTTTAAACTCCAAATAGTTATCATGAAAACTTAGGTCATTGATATCCAAGGAAAACATGTCAGGGGAACATATGGTCAAAGTAACCTCAATCAGTGAAAGTAGTAATTTACTCATTTACCACTTAGATGCAAATTTACTAAGTAAAAATTATACACCAAATAATGAGCTGAGAGTTAGAAAAATAATTCAAGATTTATTTCATTATTATTTTCAAATCAGTGTCCTTATCATCCATATGATAAGAAAACTGTGCATTCATGGAGTTTCAATATTATGGTTGATGTAGAAACAAAATGACTTCTAGATATGGAAGGACAACAAGTTTCTTTTTGAAGGCTGATTATTTTCGGTATTATGTGCTCTGTTAGTTCAGTATTATGAGAGCAGTTAAACTGATTTTCTTCTCTTAATTCAACATATAAATCTGGTATATTAAAAACTAATGAATGTAGTAGTATATAGGCATGGAATAGGATTTTCAATATGGAAGTAATATGATTTGTTAATTATAAAATTATGCAGATAAAGACAAAACAGCGCACTGCAAATATGCATATTTTATAAGAATATCAATGTTTAAAAGGATATCTCCTAACTGTTCTTTTTAAACTTATAAATTGGTGAAATATGTCTTCAATAAAATATACGTCAGGGTTTATAGAACTAGTTCTTTTAAGTAGATCAAGTATGAAAATATCCAGTTATTGAATCTGATAAGTTAGAAAACAAACATTTGCTTAATGAAATTATTTCTTAATATAAAAGGAGTTCCAATAGTATTTCATTGATTAGTTTTCTTATTCCATTAAAATAGAATTTTATTGAAATGTAACTTTCTACAGCATATTAATTCTACAAATTACAGCATACTTGTACAACAATATTCTAGGATTTTCTTTTCATTTCCTTGGAAGCTGCTTATAGATAAGGAACAGTATGTAGCAGAAAACATGAACAATTTGGGAAGTTCAGGTCATTTAATCAATATGCCTGCAGCAAAGAGTACGTATTTTCTGCAGCATATTTTAGGTAACTATTTGCTATTTTGTAGATTTTTGGCATTGATTCTCACATTGAATTGATGCAGAGGGTTAATTGAAATAATCAGGAAAGACAGGAGATTTGTTTCTTAGAAGACGAAATTGTAGATCAAATGATAATAAAAGAATAAGAAAAGAAATGAGAGGGTTAACAAAATAATTAGAAGTTTGACGACAGACATAAATTATTGGGTCTTCAAAAAATGAAGGAAACAGAAATCCAACATGAATTGACTTGTTCACCTGTCAAATCATTCATGAGCAAATGGTTTTGTGCAACCTTTTAGAAATGCATATTAGCCATTTAGGAAACGAACTCTACTTACCTGTTCTCCAGTAAATTGGCAAATGATACCCTTTCCTGATTAATGTAGACACCTCTAGCATTCCTAATTGGAAAACTTTCATATTTATGGACAATCTCTTAACATACTTGTAATTGAATAGCATTGCAAGAAATTTTTATTGTACGATAGCCTTCAAAGACATTGCTACTGAGTTACCACTAATAAACAGTAGCAAAGCAATCCGGACATATAAAGCTCCATAAAAATTGGAAGTCGGATGTGAGATCAGTCTTTGGAGATGTTCAAATGCATGACTTTGGCAAGTGCTAATAATTCTTCACTGAAAAGTTTAACTGTAGTGCATTGTTGCTTGTGCCATTTTGATTATATAGTTTGTTAAGATAGTTTTCTTCTGGTATAGAACTGATGGCTACTTACACACAGAGGAGTATGATTGGTGACCCAAGAACTTAGCTCTTTTATGCCTTTATTACTAATAAAGAGAAATTAGGATGAGGCTGGGGTTGGAAGAAACAATCCTGGGATGGTGGGATGGTGTAGAATCAGTGAAATAAATACAACTGTGAGTTTTGACTGAGTAACGATAAGCAAAGGAAACTGATCTCTAGGAGAACAGCTAGATGTAATAATTGTAAGCAGTTTCCAGAGATCTAAAGAAGAGTTGCTGTAGCACACTATGTAGTACATGTTGTACCTGCTGTGCTTTCATTTATTCATTTAAGAAAACAATCACAAGAGGAGGTACTTACTGTTACCACCCTATTTCATAGAGAAAGAAACTCAAATATAGAGAAGTGATATCTAAAGGAGAGGTTTCATAATACAATATTATATTATGAAATATAGGTTTCATAATATGAAAGAACTAGAATATCTAGTTCTTTTTGACTCCCAGAACCAGAGATGAACCATATAATTGCATTTGCTTAGTATACTGTATATTTTGAAAATAGATATGGAAATATTTATAATGTTTACTTTCCACTAGAAAATAATTTTGAACATTCATTATTTAGTCTTTTGTAATTCCCTGTTGCCATTTACATATCCCTGTTTCAGCCTAGTCCTTAGCTCTTAGTACATACATTTGTTAAAATCATTTGGAATGGGATGCAGAATTCCATCTGAGATGTCAGAAAAACAGACAAAGGTAAACATGAAACACAATTTACCAAATTTCATGTTTTGGTGGCATAGCTCTTCTAATAGAATACTTCATATTGAAAAAGACCCAATTCCAATTTCTTTGTTTTAGTACAATGACTCTAAGCAAGTGGTAGTAAAGGAACGGACAAGGGTCTAGTTAAATAATGTTAACTCGGTTTTCTAAGATAAATTAACATAAATGAATGCCTACTATGTACAAGAAAGAGTTTAGGATCAAGTTTCTTTTTCTGTGTTTCTAAAAGCAGACCGGTGGATGCAGAAATGTGTTTTCCCTTGGAACCAATTGTTCACTAAAATCAATATTTGCCAAATGGTGTTCAGTGAAGGTACAATTCTATGATATTTTAAAAGAAAATTTCTATGAGATCTCTAACAGAAAAA